AAACACTGCGCACTGACACTGGTGGCGGCAGGGCACTGTGGCGGTGGCGGGGCGCATGTGGCGGCGGTGGCGGGCGTACTGGTATGGCGGGGGCGTAACAGTATGGCGGGGGTGGCGGCGGGGCAATGGTGGCGGCGGGGGCGTACAGGCGGCGGCGGGGCGGGCCTGCGGCGGCGGGGGCTGCGGCCTGGTGGCGGCGGGCGTACTTATGGTCAGGGCGGTCAGGCGGCGTCGAAGGCAACAGCATGCTCAGCGCGCCGTGGTGGCGGGTTTAGCGCGGCCGTGGCGGGGGGGCGTGGCTGGTGGCGGGGGTGGTCAGGCGGGGCGTCAGGCGGGTGAAGCAAAGGGTCATGGCGGCGGGGGCGAAGCGCGCGTCGGTGGCGGCGGGGGGCGCAATGCGGCGAGAGAAGGCAACAGAGATGGCGGGGCTATCAGTGGCGTGGCGGTGGGCGATCAACAGGCGGCGGTGGGGCGTAACAGGCGGCGGCGGCGGGCGCGATCGCGGCGGCGTGAGTGCAATATGGTGGTGGGGGGCGCACAGGCGGCGGTGCGGGCTGCGGCGGCGGGTGCGTCAGGCGGCGGGACAGGTGGTGGTGGGGCGCTACAGGTGGCGGAGGGGCCGCGCAAGGCACAGGTGGCGGCAGATGTCAGGCCGTTGGTGGCGGCCAGGCGGCGCGCACTGTGGTGGGTGCGGGCGTGGCAGGTGGCGGGCCTGAAGTGTGGCTGGCGGCTGCGGCGGCGGCGGTGCGCAACAGGCGGCGGGGGCGTACGCCACAGGTGGGTTCGATGGCGGACGTGGCTTGTGGCGGCATCTGGGCGCACAGGCGACGGCGGGGGCAACAGGCGGCGGCGGGGCAGATTGCGGCGAACGCAAAGGTGCGTAGGGGCGCAAAAGCGGCGGCAGGGGCCATTGCGGCGGCGGTGGGGCGCAACGGCGGCGGCGGGGGCGCAACAGGCGGCGGCAGGCGTAACAGGCGGCGGCGGGGCGCGGCCGGAGGGAGAAACAGGAAAAACAAAAACAGGGTAAAGCAGAACAGGTATATGGTGGGGCGTAATGCGGCGGCGGTGGCGCAGGGTCCGCTCCAGGCGGCGGCGAAGCGGCGTGGCGGCGGCGCGGCGGCGGCGGCGGTGGCGGGGGCGGCGCATTCCCAGGCGGCGGCGGCGGTGGGCGCTACCAGTATATGGCGGGTACCAGATGGCGTGGCGGTGGTGGCGGCGGCGCGGCGTGTCAGGCGGCGGCGGGTCAGAAAGCTGCGTGCGCAGCAGGGTCAGAGATAAGCCGGTTGCTGGTGCGCAGCAGCGTGAGAGCGGCGTCATTGCTGGTGCGCGAAGCAGGCGCAGAGCGGCAAGCCAGTAGGGTGCGTGCGTGAAGAGGCGAGAGCAAGCTGCTCGGTTGCATGACGCGTAGCAGGCGCAGACGGCGTCACCGCTGGCGTGCGCAGCAGGCGCAGAGGCGCATTCGCTGGCGTGCGCAGCAAGCGCAGATCGGCGCTCAGAAATGGTGCGTGCAGGCGTGCAGGCTGCTGGCGTGCAACAGGCGCAGAGGGCGCCAGAAAGCTGCGTGCAGCAGGCGCAGATGAAAATGGTTGCTGGCGTGCAGCAGGCAGACAGTGCTCTGCTGCGTGCGCAGCAGGCGCAGATGGCGAGCTGGCGCAGCAGGCGTGCGATAGCAAGCGCAGAGCAGCAAAAAGAGTGTGTAGCAGGCGCAGCAGGCGCAGATGGTGCGCAGAGTGCCAGAACTGGAGTGCAGCAGGTGAAGATGGCGCGCTGCTGGCGTGTAGTGGGCGCAGATGGCGTCATTGGTTAGCGTGCCAACGGCAGAGGCGTGCTGGTTGCTGCAAGAGCGTGCAGATGGCGTCTGCTTGCTTGGTGCAAGAAAGTGGCACAGGCGGCCAAAAGGCGTGCGAGGCGCAGATGGCGCCGGTTACTGGTGCGCAGTGGCGCAGATGGGCAACAGAAATCGCGCAGCAGGCGCAGATGGCGTCAGCTGGCGCAGCAGGCGAGATGGCCGGCCATTGCGTGCAGCTGGGCGCAGATGGCGCCATTGCTCGGCGTGCAGCAGACATGCAGCGGTCTGGTCGGTGCGCAGATGGGCAGATGGCAAGCCGGTCTGGCGCGCGCAGAGGCAGATGGCGCTGCTTGCTGGCGCGCAGACGGGCGCAGATGGCGCTGTAGCTGGCGCGCGCGCAGCAGCGCAGAGGTGCTGGTTGCTGGTGCGTAGTGCGCAGAGGGCGTCATTGCTGGCGCGTGCAGAGCAAGGCTTTGCTGGTGCAGGGTGCAGAGCGTTGCCAAAGCTGCGTCGTGCAGAGCAGAGCGGCGTGCTGCTGGCGTGCGTAGCAGGTAAAGAGGCACGAAATGGCGCAGGGCAGAGCGCAACAGACTGGCGCAGCAGAGAAGACACAGAAATGGAGAGGAGATGGCGCTCATTACCGGCGCGCGTAGCAGGCGCAGAGGCCAGAAGGAAACTGGTGCGCACGCAGATGGCGCCAGAGCTGTTGCAGCGGGCGCAGATGGCGTCAGAAGCTGGTGCGCAGTGGCAGCAGAGGCGCCAGAAGCTGGCGCGCGCAGGGGCAGATGGCTGCTGGTTGCTGCGTGCAGGGCGCAGAGCGGAAGCCAGAAGCCGGCGTAGCGGGAGCAGAGTGGCGCCAGAACGGTCGTAGCAGGTGCAGAGGAAGCCAGCAGGTACAGGCGGCTGTAGCAGGTAGAGTGCGTCAGAAGCTGGCGCGCAGAGAGGCAAACACCGTAGCAGGTGCAGAGCTGGTCGTTGCAGCAGGTGCAGACGGCAACAGAACAGGTCAGAGGCCAGCAGGCGCAGAGGTAAACATAAGCAGCAGAGAAGAAGATGGCAATATTACTGCGCGTAGTGCAGATGGCGGGAGATGGCAACCATTATCGGCGCGCGCACGGGCGAAGATGGCGCGTTTGCTGGCGCGCGCAGCAGGCGCAGAGGGCGCCTGGTTGCCGGCGCGCAAAGAAAGTCGCAGACGGCGCTGTTGCTGGCGCGTGCAGTGGGGCGCAGATACGCCAGAAGCTGGCGTGCGCAGTGTGTGCAGAGGCGCCATTGCTGGTGCGCAGGCAATGGCACAGAAGCTGCGTGTGCAGAGCGCAGAGTGCGCTGCTGCTGGTGCGTAGCAGGCGCAGAGTGGCGCTCAGAAGCTGGCGTGCAGCAGGCGAGAGGGTGCTGGTTGCGTGCGCAGTGGGCGCAGAGGGCACAGAACAGTAGCGGCGCAACCCCACAGAGCGGCGTTTGCTTTGCGTGCAGAAATGGCAAGATGGCGCTTATTGCCGCGTGCGCAGAGGTGCAGATGGGCGTCATTGCGGAGTGCAGGCGAGATAAGGACCATTACTGGCGCGCGCAGATGGCGCAGATTGGCGCGCACCCGGCGCGAAGATGGCGTGTCATTGCCTGGTGCGCGCAGATATGCAAGATGGGCTCGTCGCTGCGCGCAGTGAGGCGTGAGAGCTGCGCTGTTGCCGGCGTGCGCAGCGGGCGCAGATGGCGCTCTGCTGGCGTGCGTGCGGAGCAGGCGTGAAGTGGCGCTGGTTGCTGGCGTGCGCAGCAGGCGCAGAGGGCGCCGATTGCTGGCGTGCGTGAGGCGTGGCAGAGTGGCGCTGCTGGTAGTGCGCGTAGGGCGCAGAGGCGCTGCTTGCTGGCGTGGTGAAGGCGCAGAGGGCGCTGGTCAGCCAGTGAAGTGGGTGCAGAGGCGTTGCGTTTGCGCAGCAGGTGCAGAGTGGCGGCTGGTTGCTTGGTGCGTAGTGGGTGAAGATGGGCGGTTGCCAGTGCGTAGTGGCGCAGACGGCGCTGTTGTTGGTGCGCAGTGGGTGCAGAGCGGCGTCAATGGCGGCGTGCAGCAGGCGCAGAGTGGCGGCAGGAAATGCGCGGTGCAGGAGTGGAAGCGGGCAGGTGGCGTGCAGTGGCGCAGAGGGCGCTGGTTGCCTGGTGTGCAGGGTGCAGAGTGGCGGCTGTTTTACTGGCGTGCGCAGTGGCGCAGATGGCGTTGCTACTGGCGTGCGCAGAGCGGCGCAGGGGGCGTCGTCAAGAGAGGCGCATTGTCGGCGTGCGCAGCGGGCGCAGAGTGGCGTCACATTGCTGGTGTGCGCAGCGGGCGCAGAGCGGGCGTCGTAGCCTGCGTGCGCAGCGGGCGCAGAGGCGTCGGTTGCTGGCGCGTAGTGGCGCAGGCGTAAGTGCGCAGAGGCATGGTGCTTTGCTGGCGTGCGTGCAGGTGCAGAGCGGCGCTGGTTGCTGGTGCGTGCAGTAGGCGCAGAGGGTGCCGTTGCTTGCGTGCGTGGCAGGCAGAGGGCGCTGTTGCTGGTGCAGGCGTGCAGAGTGGGCGTTGCTGGTGCGTAGCAGGCGTGCAGAGGGCGTTGCTGCTGGGTGAGAGGGTGCTTGCTGTTGGTGTGCGTAGTAGGCGCAGAGGCGTGCTGGCGGTTGCGTAGTGGGTGCAGATGGCGCTGGTTCGGCGCAGCAGGCGTAGATGGGCGGTTGTTGCTTGGTGCGTAGCAGGCGGAGGTGGTCATTGGCGCGCAGGCGGCGCAGGCGTTGGTGTCGATGCAGATGGGCGGCGGTTGCGGGAGGGGTCACCTGGCGTGCGCAGTGGCGCAGATGGCGTCATTGGTTCGGTGCGCGCAGCAGGCGGAGGCGCTGGTTGCTGTGCGTGCAGCAGGCGGCAGAGTGGGCGTTGTTGGTGCGTAGCGGGTGCAGAGTGCGTCATTACTGGCGTGCGCAGGAGGTGCAGAGGGTTGGTTGCTGGTGCGAAGCAGGCAGGAGGGTGCTGCTTGGCTGGTGCGAGAGGGTAGAGGGCGGTTGCTTGCTGGTGCGTGCAGTGGGCGCAGAGTGGCATTGCTTGCTGGCGTGCGTAGTGGCGCAGAGTGGCGTTGGTTGCTGGTGCAGTGGGCGCAGAAGTGTTATTGCTGGCGTGCGCAGGCGAGAGGGTGCTGTCGCTGTGCAGTGGGCGCAGAGTGGCGCACTGTTTGCTGGTGTGCAGCAGGCGCAGATGGGCGCCGTCATTGGGTGCGCGTAGGGCGCAGATGGCGTCATTGTTTGCGTGCAGCAGGCGCAGATGGCGCTCATTTTGCCTGGCGGCGCAGCAGGCGATGGTGTCATTGCTGGCGTGCGTAGTGGGGCGCAGAGGCGCTGGTTGCTGGCGTGTGCAGGCAGATGGCGGCTGGTTGCTGGTGCGCAGAGGGCGCAGAGGGCTGGTTGCCGGTGCCGTGAGTGGGCGCAGAGGGCGCTGTTGTTGGCGTGCGTAGCGGGCGCAGAGGGCGCTGGTTGCTGGTGCGTAGTGGGTGCAGAGCGGTGCTGGTTGCTGGTGCGTAGTGGCAGATGGCGCTTGTTGCTGGCGTGCAGCAGGTGAAGAGTGGGTTGTTGCTGGCGTGCGTGCGTGGCGTGCAGGCGGCGCGGTTGCGTGCAGGTGCAGAGGCGCTGATTGCTTGGTGCGTGTGCAGAGGGGTGAGATGGGTGCTGGTTGCTGGCGTGCGCAGTGGGGCGCAGATGGGCGCCAGCTGGCTGTGTGCAGGCGCAGAGGGGCGTCATTGCTGGCGCGAAGAGGCGAGATGGCGTCAGGCCTGGCGTGCGAAAGGGCGCAGATGGCGTCATGCTGGTGCGTGCGTAGCGGTGCAGAGGCGGCTGTTGCTGGCGCGTGCAGTGGCGCAGAGGCGTTGCTTGCTGGCGCGTGCAGTGGGCGCAGATGGGCGGCTGCTGCTGGTGTGCAGAGTGGGCGCAGAGGGCGCTGGTTGCTGGCGTGCGCAGTGGCGCAGATGGGCGCTTGCGGCTGGCGTGCAGTGCGGGCAGAGGGCGCTGGCTGGTGCGTGCGTAGTCAGGTGCAGAGGGCGCTGGTTGCTGGGCGTGCAGTGGGCGCAGAGGTGTTGCTGCTGGTGTGTAGCAGCAGGTGAGATGGGCGATTGTTGCTGGCGTGCAGCAGGCGCAGAGTGGCGTTTGCTGGTGCGCGTAGCAGGGGCGCAGAGGGTGCCTGTTTGCTGGCGTGCAGAGGCGCAGGCGCTGCTAGCCGGTGCAGTGGCAGAGGCGCTGGTGCGCAGCAGGCGCAGAGCGGCGTCATTGCTCGGTGCGTGAAAGTGGCGCAAGATGGCGTCAGAAAGCTGGCGTGCGAGCAGATGTGGCGTCACTGGCTGGTGCGCGCAGCAGGCGCTGCCTGGCAGTAGGGCGCAGAGGGCGCTTGCTGGTTGGCGTGCGTAGCGGCGCAGAGTGGGCGCTGGTTTGCTGCGTGCAGCAGGTGAGAGTGGCGTTGCTGCTGGTGTGCGTAGCGGGTGCAGAGGGTTGCTGGTGCGTAGCGGGCGCAGAGGCGCTGCTTGCTGGTGCGCAGTGGGTGCAGAGTGGTGCTGTTGTTGGTGTGCGTAGTGGGTGCAGAGTGGCGCTGTTGCTGGTGTGTGCAGAGGTGCAGAGGCGGTTGCTGCTGGTGTGCGTAGCGGGTGCAGATGGTGCTGGTTGCTGGTGCGTGCAGGGCGCAGAGTGGTGCTGCTGTTGGCGTGCAGCAGGCAGAGTGGCGTTGCTGTTGGTGCGTGCAGCGGGTGGAGTGGGTGTCAGAAGCTGGCGTGCGTAGCGGGCGCAGAGGGCATGGTTGTCGGTGCGCGTAGCAGGTGCAGAGCGTAACAGTAGCTGGCGCGCAGTAGTGCAGAGTGGCGTCAGTTGTTGGCGTGCGTAGCGGCAGAGTGGTTGGTAGCCGGTGCGCAGTAGCAGGCGCAGAAGTGGCTCGGTTGCTGGCGTAGTGGGTGCAGAGGGTGCTCATTAAGCTGGTGCAGAGGGCGCAGGAGGGCTGCTTGCTGGTGCGTGCGCAGTGCGGGGCGCAGAGGGTGCTCGTTGCTGGCGTGAGCGGGGCGCAGGAGTGGTGTGCAGCAGGTGCAGCCAGAGGCGCTGGCTGCTGGTGCGCGTGAAAGGGCGCAGAGGGCGGCTGTTGCTGGTGCAGTAGGAGAGTATCGTTGTTGGTGTGTGCAGGTGAGTGGTGCTGTTGTTGGTGTGAGGTGCAGAGCGGGTGCTGCTTGCTGGTGTGCGTAGCAGGTGCAGGCGTCAGAAATGGTGCGTGAGTGGGTGAGAGCGCGCTTGTTGCTGGCGTGCAGCAGGTGCAGAGTGGCGCTGGTTGCTGGTGTGCGTAGAGGCGCAGAGGGTGGCTGGTAAACGTGCGTAGCAGGCGCAGATGGGTGTCATTGCCGGTGTGTGCAGCAGGCGGAGAGGGCGTGCTTGTCTGGTGTGCGTAGGGGGTGCAGATGGCGCTTGTTGTTGGTGCGCGTAGTGTGCAGAGGGTGCTGGTTGCTGGTGTGCGTAGCAGGCGCAGAGTGGCGCTGGTTGGTGCGTGCAGTGGGCGTAGATGCGTTGTTGCTGGTGTGGTAGGGGTGCAGAGGGTTGTTGTTGGTGTGTGTAGTAGGTGCAGAGGGTGCTGTTGTTGGTGTGTGTAGGGGTGCAGAGTGGCACAGAAGTTGGTGTGTGTAGTGGGTGCTGTGGCTTGCGTGTGTAGCAGGTGCAGAGGGTGTGGTAGTTGGTGCGTGTGAAGCAGGTGAAAGAGGGATGTTGTTGCTGGTGTGTGTAGTGGGTGTAGAGGCATTGTTGTTGGTGTGTGTAGTGGGTGTAGAGGGCGTCATTACTGGTGTGTGTAGTGGCGCAGAGAGGGCGTGTTGGTTGCTGGTGTGTGCAGAGTGCAGATGGTGTCGTTGTTTGCGTAGTGGGTGAGAGGCGTTGGTTGTTGGTGCGCAGTGGTGCAGAGGGCGTTGCAGATGGCGTAGCAGGTGCAGATGGGTGCTGTTGCTGGTGCGTAGCGGTGCAGAGGGTGCTGTTGCTGGTGTGTGCAGCAGGTGGGGGCGTTGTTGTTGGCGTGCGCAGGCAGGCGCAGAGTGGTTGGTGCGTGCGCAGGTGAGAGGTGCTGTTGCTGGTGTGCGTAGCAGGCGTAGAGGGCCAGGTGCTGGCGTGTGTAGTGGTGCAGAGGTGCTGTCGCTGGTGCGTGCAGTAGGTGCAGAGGGCGTTGCTTGCTGGTGCGTGCAGGCGCAGAGAGGGTGTCAGGCTGGTGTGTAGCAGGCGCAGAGGGCGTTTGTTGTTGGCGTAGTAGGTAGAGGGTGCTGTTGCTGCGTGTGTAGTGGGTGCAGAGGCGCTGCTTGCTGGCGTGCAGCAGGTGCAGAGGCGTCAGTTGCTGGCGTGCAGTGGGTGCAGAGGGTGTTGTAGCTGGCGTGCGTAGTAGGTGCAGAGGCGTTGTTGCTGGTGTGTGCAGTAGGTGTAGAGGGTGTTGTTGTTGGTGTGTGTAGTGGGTGCAGAGGTGCTGTTGCTGGTGTGTAGTGGGTGTAGAAGTCAACAACACGATGATGATGACTTAGCCTCCACTTCTCTTGACACAAGAGTCGAGAAAGGGTAGAGGTGATGGTGTTGAGGTGAGGTGAGGGTGTGTTGAGGTGAAGTGATTGTGTTGATTTGCGATGGTGTGTGTGGCGGTACGGTGAGTGTGTGTGGCAGTGTGGTGAGTGTGTGTGGCAGTTGCGGTGAGTGTGTGTGTGTGCGGCAGTGCGGTCAGTGTGTTCGCGGTGTGGCGAGTGTGTGTGTGTGTGTGCGGCAGTGCGGTCAGTGTTCGGCGGTGTGGTGTGTGTGTGTGTGTGTGTGTGTGCGGCGGTGCGGTCGTGTGTTCGGCGGTGTGGGAGTGCGGTGCGGTGTGGCGAGTGCGTGTGGCGAGTGTGTGGCGGTGCGGTGGGTGTGTTGTGTGTGTGTGTGGCGGTGCGGTGAGTGCGTGTGGCGGTGCGGTGAGTGCGTGTGGCGATGCGGTGAGTGCATGGCGGAGCAGTGTGTGAGGTGAGTGCATTTGGCGGGCAGTGTGTGTGAGGCAAGTGCATAAGCGAAATGCTTCTCAACTAGCCTTCAGCAACGTAAAATTATTCCTTCAGGCAACAGACGCGGCTTCACAAACTCTTCCTCTGCAATAATTTTCACTACCAACATTTTATAATTTCTAAGTGTGAAGCAAGGGCTGGGGAGGGTTGGGTGGGGGTGTTGTGAAGGAGGGTTAGAGGAGAGTAGAGGAATACTCATAGGCAGGTTGAGGGAGCAAGGGAAGTAGGGAAGAAAGAGGAGAGAATGAGGGCAGCAGAGGAGGGTGGAAAAGGAAGGAGGGAGAAGGGTGAGGGTGTGTGTGTGTGAGAGAGAGAAAAACAGAGAGAGCCACACTGTAGAGGTGAGATAAAACTAAGGAATCAGGAAACTTTGTGAGGTAGGAGACTGTTTGGAAGCTTCTCTGTTTCTTCCTTTCTTTCTATCTGAATTTCTCTCTTTTGTTTTCTCATTTATCTCTCTTTCTTATTTCTCTTTCGTGCTTCTCTCTCTTTCCTTCCTATCAATCTCTCTTCCTCTCTTCTTACCTCCTGTCTTCCTTTCTTTCTCTCTCCCTCCCTGTGCTCCCCTCTCTTTCATTCTTTCCTCTCTCTCTCTCTCTCTCTCTCTCTCTCTCTCTCTCTCTCTCTCCTATAGCATTCTACGCTGGTAAAGATTTCTCAGAGTTAAAAGAAAAACAGTGACATGAGACAGTCTCCAGCAG